TTTCTTCCTGTTAAAAGGGAGTTTTTCCTCTCCACTGTCGCTACAAGCATGCTTAGTGTGAGGGATTGTATTTGAGTCAATGAGTCGATGCAATCAACTGGTTTCCTTAGATAGAAAACTTTGTATCAATTTCACTGTATGATCTGGTTGAACTGTAAAGTGCCTTGAGATGACATCTGTTGTGAATTTGGCGCTATATAAATAAACTGAATTGAATTGAATTGAATTGAATTGAAAAGTAACGGGATAGTTGCTTTTACTTGGAACTAGTTACTTTTATTGTGGAGTAACTTATTTTCCTTAGAAAACTTTGAATCAATTTGACTGTATGATCTGGTTGAACTGTAAAGTGCCTTCAGATGACTTGTGTTGTGAATTGGCGCTATAGAAATAAATTGAATTGAATTATATCCAGGTAACATCTTCCTATGGGCAACGACTTGAAGGCACAAACTAAACTGTTCATAATTTGTTCTTTATGGTACGCCAGCATTCATAACATGTAGGTGCATCACTGTCCCCCAGACATCTGAGGTTATATTTTTTATATTTGTATCTTTAAAAACAAAGTGGCGCGTGTATAACGTCACCCGTGCGCGCCGGCTACCATTCATTCATCCTGTCCGCTGAACTGCTGCTAGTTTTACTCTCTCGAGATGGAATTGAACGATTCAGGTTAGCTAGGCGAATGAAAAGAAGGGGTAGAGCGTAACTGCCTGTGCCCCGGGCTGCCTGTCACAACTCCTGTCAAAACTCATATGGGTGAGTAGAACATGATGTAATAACGTAAAATCAACGGCCCAGTGTAAAAAAAAACGGCGTTCCCCTTTAAAGTCGTAGGGAAGAGGCTGTTCCAACTGTTGCATTTCTGAATTCTCCCGAGTGGTGCACGACTTTACACGACTGAATAAAATGAATGTGATCGTTTATCAAGATGGTGGGATTGTTGTAGCGGAAGGTTTGCAAGCAAGTTTGATTCTGGTCGGTGACTTAGAAACGACAATGGCAAAGAACACTATGGACAGCGGAAACATGCAAGAGGAGGACAGTTTGGTGTCAGAGGTCGTGGATGAGTCTCCTCCATCATACCTTTTTTTATTTAGAGGAGCAAAGTGAAGACGAAAATGTTGTGGAAGAGGAAGCCAGGGCGGCAGAAGCTTGGTTGGTGTAGAAGGCTTCCAGCCGTACATGTTTGAGCCCTTGCCTCGCAACGCTGCCAGTTCTGTTAGCTCTACGCCTGCTGAAGACACAGACATCCATCCCTGTCAACACTGGGACGAAACTAAATGGGAAAGGAAATTATTCTTATTTCTATCGTTGCATATATTAGCTGCGACATATGAATCAAGATGCTATGACTAAAAAAAATTGATTGACAGATGATCGTTGATATATGATTGGCCGAATTTAGGTGGACAAGCTGATGTATAACTAACTGCCTGCATATATATATAATAAAATTTATATACATGTTTAAGCCAGAAGGATTTGACATTTAAATATGATTTCTTTATGAATTTAAAGACTATTGAGGTCCAACAGAAAAAAATGGCTGATTATTATTAATCAGGACCAGTCCCAATGCAGTTAGCATAAGGACATCCTGATGTCTCTATCCACTGCTAGAAAGCCTTCACATGTATTGAGGTCTATGGGGGAGGCTTCAGTTGTTTGATACATTTGTGTGACCTTGGTTTTTAGTAGCTCTTTTTCGTATTGGCTGTAGATCCAATTTGAGATGGGTCATTCATATGTGTTTTCGCTCCGTTAATATGCACAACAGTCTGGAACTCCTTTCCTTACTGTTGACCCCATGATATGTGAAGAGACAGAAGCTTGAAGATACAGTTAGAGGTATACAGCTTGAGCCATTGTAATTGAAGTTAGAAGCGAGCGCAAATGCAACATGTAGCTGTCTCCTTTAAGCTGGTCCACATGCAGACTAGTGAATGGTGCTGGAAATAAATGCTTATGTCTACATTGGCACCTAGACGACAGAGTGGTTACATCTCAGGAACTCTAAACAGGAGATGAAGTGGAAGGGGAGGCCGGTCATCATATGGTATCTCAATCATTACTGGATGCTCCAGAATTTGCCTGATTTATCTCCACTACTTATACCACCATTTATGCCTAGTAGTGGTCTAATTGTGGATCAGACTACACCCAAATCGGACCCTTCTACATGTCTTAGATCAACGGTGTGGACACATTTACACTGAACAAGATCCATTTGAAGACTTTGGAAGACACAATATCGCCCATGTTCAGAATGTCCAAAACTTCTCTAGAATTTCAAAAACCTTCCAGCTCATCCGGTAAACCTGTGTATTCCAGATTGATGACCCGTTAACCTGCTTTATTTCTCCAGGCTTTCCATCTGTCACTCTGTCCATTTGTCTATTTCCTTTTACAAGGATTTGTTTTCTGCATTTTTTTCTTCTCTTAAAGATCAAAATGTTTTACAGGAATTCATGTAAATCATCAAAAAAAGGAGACGAGAAGATAATCTTGGCTTCTAAAAAAAAACGTAGCTCTCCTTATAGACCAATGCGGCAGCAAGGGGATATTTCTGTACTTGAC